ACCATCTTGGTGGTTCCACCTCCCTGCGGCGGGGGGGAGCGGTCCGGAAGTCCAACCTAAGGAGTGAATGATCTGACCATGACAGGGGCTCAATTACTACGTCCCCCTTTTCCAGATCATTCTGCCACTGGCCAGAGACAAAAATTAGATCTAGTGTGTGTCCCCCCGTGTGAGTTGGGGCATGAACTAATTGGGTCAACTCCAGGGCCGTCATGGAGGCCAAGAACTCCCGAGCCGCCGCCGACGTTTCGCCCGCCGATGGCAGATTGAAGTTCAGCATAATACCATTCAAAAAGAAAAACAAGAAATCCAAGAAGAAACCAGCATAGTTGCACAAAGAATTCCCTCTCATTTGTCTGAAATGGTATAGGTTCTCCTGCTTGAGCTAGGGGTTGGACTAGATCAGGGCTTTTCAACCAGTGGTACGGGTACCACCTTTGGTACATTGGCACCTGGCAGGTGGTATGCGACCATCCTAGAAAAGTGGTAGCGGGAGAGGGGAATGAGCTGAACAGGTGGCAGTACCGCACAAGCCTGAGCGAGAGATGGCTGGAGCTGCAGGGCTGTCAGGGCTCAGCGGAAGCACCAGGATCAGTGCCACTTTCCAGCTGATTGGCACTTCTTTGGGGCTGTCAGAGCTCAGTGGAAGTGCCAGGATCAGCGCCAGGCTCCAGCTGGAGCTTGGTGCTGATCCTGGCGCTTCTGCTGAGCCCAGAAGAAGCGCCGATCAGCTGGAATGTTGCAGCATCTCCAGGGTCTTGTGATTTACATTCAGATGCTTGGCAACTGATTCATATTTATGACGGTCACAGTGTCCCAGGGTCATGTGAAGTGACCAAAACCTGCTGCAACCACCCAGCAGATAGGTAGAATAAAAACCAAACACCCCCCCACCCCACCTCCACTGCCAATCCCCAACAGAAATGCTCACAACAATGAAAACCTTGAACAGAAGGAAGAGTGCCGCCGGGTGGGCAGGCAGGTGTCTTGCTCAGCTGTGGCTTGGGAGGCACTTTTTTCACTGCCATTATAACTTCGAACAGTCATTAAGCGAACTGTTGTAAGTCGAGGACTACCTGTACTTTATCACTTTTTTCCTTTTTTGGGGGGGGTCATCAATTTTTTGATACCTTGCTAGGCGACTGGTGGTACTCGGATATTGCCATATCCTAAAAGTGGTACAATGGGTGAAAAGGTTGAAAAGCCCTGGACTAGATAACCTCTAACGTCCTTTCCAATTCTGAGAAAGATTTATCCAAATTTCCATCAGTAATTGCTGTAAGATGTCAAGTCTCCTGTAGCTTTTTTTGCCCATTTGTGATTTCTCCTGGCTGCCTTGAACAGAAAAAATAATAGCAAAGTAAAATATAGACTTCATATTAATGATAAACTTTCAAAGCATTTCATCCAGTAGGACAGTTAAGCTAGAAATTTCTAGATCATGGTCCAAAGAAAGAAAAATGGAAATGTTCTTGGCATCATATTGTTTTGTATCCAATTATAATCTTATATTAAGTGAAACAAAATCTTCAGACTCACAAATTGTGATCTCCTTGGATTTTGATGCATTTGATGCATTCTATTTTAGGACATAGAAATACCAGTTGTTGAAACTCAGGTACCTTGGCTGATGGAAAACAAAATACATCAGTTCCTTTATTCCAGGAGTTCAGTTTCAAACATCATCCAAGGTGTACCTGACAATGGGAACAAAATCCGGCTTCTATTTACCATAATTAGTATGGGATTTCTCAAACCTTGCATTTTCCCTCACCTGGTGCTCGCCTTTCTTTCTGCAGAATGATCCGTCACAAAATCAGCTGGTCCATATTAGAGAAAGTCTTAAATCCTCCAGGCCAAAGCGTGACACTGGTATGTAAAATGTGGAGTTGCTTCCTGATAGGGTGTCAGAGCTGGTTCTCATACAGCAATAGCAGATTGTAGGCAGAAGACAGACTTAAGACTGCATGGGGGGGGGGTAGCAGATGAGATGAAAAAACAAGATGGTGGCCATAGCTGTGTGCGTGAAACCACATCCGTTTTTTTGTGAGGGGTGGTGCTTCAGTCATGTGATCCTGACCACCACCTTGACATTTTTAACTTTCCTGTGGATCTCCTGAAATGCACTCATTTTCATATTGTGAGGAAATATTCTTTTGTTTGTTTTGAATGGTGTGGTGGCCTAGAGATGGAGCTCTTGCCTCACAATCAGTAGGCTGTGAGTTCGATCCTAGGTAGTGGCAGATATTTCTGCTACAAAGAGAAAATATCTGCTGCAAAACTCTGGAGGCGTCAGGAAGGGCATCCAGCCAATAAACGCTCCACCCCAATGCAAGGGGTTATAGATGCTTGTTTGGTTATTTGTATCTCACGAGTAAATGCTCAGCTCCATCCAGTCACCCTGACTCTATTCCAAATTAAGATCCTAAAAAGAGAGTTTTTTATTTGTATCCCATCTTTTTTATTTTTACAAATAACTCAAGGTGGCAAACATATCCAGCACAGCTTCCTCCTCCTATTTTTCCCACAACAACAAGCCTGTGAGGTGGGTTGGGCTGAAGGAGAGGGACTGACCCAAGATCACCTAACTTTTTTTTCATTGCTCTGGCTTTCTAGCCTGATGCTTTAAATCAGGGGTAGTCAACCTTGGCTCTTTTATGACTCGTGGACTTCAATTCCCAGAATAAGCTGGCTCAGGAATTCTGGGAGTTGAAGTCCACGAGTCATAAAAGAGCCAAGGTTGACTACCCCTGCTTTAAATACTAGATTATGGTTCCATGGACAGACTGCACACACCTGCCCTCCATCTGAAATCCAGAATAGCATATTGCAGTGATGGCGAACCTTTTAGAGACCGAGTGCCCAAACTGCAACCCAAAACCCACTTATGCATCGTCGAGTGCCGGGTGGGTGTGGCCCATTGGGTGGGCGTGGCCCATTGGGTGGGCGTGGCTGTGGTGGTAACGGCAGACTGGGTGGGACTAAAAAGTTCAATCTATCAATTTCAACTTTGCAAGATCCTTTTTTTTTCCCACAAGAAATTGAAATTGACTGATTGAACCTTTTTTTTTTTTTGCACACGGCGGTGGAGGCCTAAAGCGAAAAGGTTTTATAAAACCCAGCTGAAGGCCTAGGACTGGGGCGACGGTGCGCGTGCCCACAGAGAGGGCTCTGAGTGCCACCTCTGGCACCCGTGCCATAGGTTCGCCACCACTGGCATATTGTAATATGTTTGGTGAGAGAAATGGTATATGGGGTAACTTTCAAAATTAAATAAGGCTGCCGGCCTGATTTTTTTTAAGCATACTTCAATCCAGATTCAGAATTAATGGACTTCTCAGCTCACCCTATTAGCACTCTCTTTTTAATTCCATTTTTGAGAAGATTTCTAATTTGGGTTTCTTTTCTACTGATTCTTTCTTAATAAATATAAATGATCAATAGAAACATTTGCCAAGATGTTTAGAAAAACATGTAGGTTTTCCTACTTTTATTCACACAATTTGGATAGATCTGAAAATTCTGCAACCTTGATTAACTCATGACTTTTCTCTTAGCAAAAGAGTGCCCAGAGGAGAAAGTCATCACAGAGGAAATTCTAAATGATGACCTGATTGAAGAGCTTATATATTATACTCCTCGGGAGCTAAAATTGTGCTTGACTATGGAAAACCTAATGAACAATATTAGTGCATTCTCAGAGTATCCTTTCACAGAAGAACAGCTGATAGCAGTCAAGGAAAAACTGGATGAGGTAATAAACATGCCAATTTTTTAGCACTTTTAACTATTCTTCATTTATTTATTGTTAAGATTTAAAAAGCTGTCCAACTTAGACAATGTCTCAAAGGAAAAATTATAGAAGTAAAAAAAATCCATATGTAAATACAAAATATAAATATAAAACAGTGACCAAGCAACATGGCCAAACAACTAAAAGGGTCCAACTGGCCCCTCATGAAGCCAGATCTCCAAGGTTTTCCTAAAACAAGGAGAGTTTGGAGCTGCCATATATCAGGGGGTGGGGATGATTGTCCTGGAGGCCAGGGTGATCAAAGAAAAGGTCCCATAAGATGACAAGATTTAGAAGAAGGAAACTGGAGGACTTTAAAAGTGATACCAGTAACCAGCATTATTTGTGCTGCCACATTCTGAACCAATAGAAGCTTCCAGATAGTTTTCATGGGCTGCTCACATAGTCCAAATGGGTAACTATGAGTAAGGCCTCACCATCCAGGAATGGATGCAACTGGCATCCAAGGTGCAGTTGTGCAAAGGCCCCCTTGGCCACAGCTGCCATCTGCTCTTCAAGCAGGAGATATGAGTCCAGGAGAACCCTCAGATTGCACCCTAAGTCTTAATAGAATAGTGCCACCTCATCCAGAAACAAAATGGAAACTCTGAAGCTCCTGAATCAGGAGGACCCAGAATCCATAGCCACTCAGCCTTGGCAGAGTTGAGCTGTTATCTGTCTTCCCCATCCAGACCCTCATAGTCCTCAAACACTGGGAAAGAATCTCAACAGCTTCTCTTCGATGGCTGGGGACGGAGATCTATAACTGAGTATCATCTGCATATTGATTTTACCTCACCCGAAACTGACAGATGACTTCCCCCAGTGGCTTTATGCAAATATTAAAAAGGTAGGGGGGGGGGAAGAAGAGTCCTGAGAATCCCACAACCAGATTCAGAGGAAGGAGGAGACACAACACAAAACACTGTCCTCTTCTTCCAATCCTCTTAGCCAATTCCGAAAGCTACCATGATCAATAGTACTGAACGCCAGCAAGAGATCAAGGACAGCTAGGATTAACACACCATTCCCATCCCTAACTTGCCATCAAAGTTTCTTCATACTGTACCCAGGTCTTAATCCTGGGTGGATTAATAATAATCCTCCAGGATCTCTAAAGCAGGAGGCCAATCACCTTCTGAACAACCTTTCCTAAAATTGTCCAGATCAGCTGGCTCAAAGGATGGCCTTGTGAGGAAGGGCTAAGCTGCTCTCTCTCTCTCAGAGGCAGCTCTGCCTTTCATTCTTGCAACACCTTATGATTGCCAGGAGACCTGTGGTGCTTATCAGGTCAGAAAAATGTCAAGAGCAGTCACAAGTGTGATTGAAATTCCAACCTTTTTATATGCATCACAGGACATTCTAAAAGGAGCAGGGCTTCCACTAAGCAATCATAGTTACCAACTTGACTTCTTTTATGTCCATCCCATGAATGTCCAGATGACTACTAGAAATCGTTCTACAGAAACCTCTTCATGAGGCCATATCAGAACCAACTCCTGGACAAATGCATGCATCAAAGAAGTGATACCAAGTTAACATACATTTTTACACAGTTATTTGCTCCTTGCAGATATTTCCTGAGGGATATCCTCCTGCTGTAATCAGTAACCTTGGACTCCTTGAAAAACTAATAGATAAAAACAACATCAAGCAATGGACTATCAATTCATCAAGCACAGTTAAAGCTTTATTGCATTTTGTATCCAATGATGAGATGGTAATTATGAAGATAATATGGGGCTTTTAATATAAAAATCATTATGCACCCAATCTATCCTGGGGTTTTATTTTCCTTGCTTCTAAACCTAGTGCTTTAAAGAGAAGATTATAAGTTCCTGGCCATGTTTCTCTCCTCATTAACACACATTGTGAGTGTGCTATATTCTTATCATTTTACTTTAGGTCTCTTAGAATGTTTTAGGCAACTAGCCTTCTTTTATTGTGCTGAGTTCCAGGAGCATTGGCTAAGAATTCTGGGCATTGTGATTCATAGAACTGTAGGGTGGAAGGGGTCACAAGGATCATCCAGTTCTAGTCCAATACGCTCCAAAGTACAGAAAAGCCAATTAAATCAGCATTGAGAGGTGAATGTCCAGGGTGTTCTTAAAAAACATCCAGAGCTGTTATATACTATATAGAGAGACAAAGTTCCAGAACTAAGATATGTTCAGTAATGGTATAGTCCACCTGTAGAGGTGGTAGGTTTTCCAGTTCTAGATATTTAAATGAAAAATATGTAACCATCCTAATAGTATGAGTAGTTTGAGAGTAGAACCAATTATGAGGAGAGAGATAGAGCTCCCTTTGCTGGATGTGATCAGAAAGAGGCTGGGTAGCTCTCTACTGGGGATGCTTTAACTCAAATTCTTGTGGAGGGTTGCACTTGTCACTTGTCTCTACGATGTCATAGTCATTGTTTTCCTCGTGTCACAATGATGGCTTCAGAAAGGCCACTTGCAGTCTATCCCAAGGTCATCATTTTGGGTGCCTCTTCAGGTTCCCTTGCTCAAGGATGGTAGAGACACTCCTGGAAGTGCTACAGTGCCCATTAAATTAAATTAAATCATCATTTAGAAATAGGTCATTGAGCAATTTACAAAACCAATGGAAAAAGCACAATGGTGTCTTTTATCATGTACCAAATGTTTTTGAACTGCTGTCTCAAAATGATACCAACAACCAGTAGCCTTGCAGTATTTCTAAAGATAGCTTTGGAACTCAGAATTCTATGCTCGTTTGTTGGACACTGGGCCAGGTTTACACATTGGATTCCATAATGGGATCTATTTGGTTTTAGAGTGGTATGATGCCTGAAGTGGGCCATAGTAGCATTGAAACCGTAGTTCATGGCTTAGCTTTACATGGAAACCATACCACAGAGACTTATTCAACAAATTGTGGTTAAATCCTGCATCAACATTTGCATTTGCTATTTCAACTTACATGTACAGTTGAAAGAGAGCAATCCTTCCAGATGTATGGGGCCAACTTGCCACTCTTCAGGTCTGTTGGGACTGTAATTTCCAGCATTCCAGTGTATTCCCAAATTCTAGAAGTGGCTGTTTTAGCACATTTGGAAGGCATATGTTTGGAAAGGTTAAAGCAACAGATTAGAGGTGGCTTGCTTTTGACTCTGGAATTATTTGTTTTAGAGGAGTGCAGTTCTTCAGCGTTACATTGAATTGAGAAAGGAAATTGACAGCGATTTTCTGAATGTGCTTGGGCAATACATCTGTCTCCTGAATGAGGACCAGCTCAGCATGATAACTGAAAAGAGCATTAAGTGAGTGAATTCTTTCAACATCTATCTATTTCTACCTATTTATTTCTTTGTATCCCACCCTTATTATTTTTTACAACTAACCCAAGGGGGCAAATAGATCCAACATACCTTCTGTAATGTATTAATGTGAAGTACTTGGAAATGTTGAAAAAACGGTCATAAGTGCCAGACTTTCTGTCTACATGCTAATTAAAAGCAGGAACTAATACTTGAATCCTATTGGCCGCCGCCTAGTTGCTGAGTGTATAAATAGGGGTGGAGCTGCAGTTATCCAGGCTTCTGTTTAAACCTTAAATAAAGAGTTGTTGCACCTGCTGCTTCGTCAATGCCTCACCAATCACCAAACATAACAGTGGCGACGAAGGTGGGATGTGCTGCCAACCTCGAAGAGCTGAGTCACTAAGGCAGTAAGCCAAGCAACAGCGCCTTGGTTAAACCGTGTTTCCCCCCCCCATTCCTGCCAGTACGAAAATGCTAGAGGAAGAGTGGTCCCAAGGAACCGTCCCTGGGAGATTAAAAGAAGCCTTGGCAGCACAAGGCATTGCGAGGCCAAAAACACTGAAAAGAACTCACCATAGCCAAACTCGGGAAACTCTCAGAATTCGACGTTGCACATCCAGAGAGGTGGAGTTCATATGTCGTGAGAGTCAAGAACTATTTAAGAGTCAACCAAGTTCATGAAGACGGCTTGAAGGCCGCAACGCTGCTGTGTGTTCGTGGCCAGGTGACGTTCAAAATCGCCGAAAACATAATCGCTCCAGCTCCGCTTGAGTCTGTCGTTTATTCCAAACTAAAAAAATGCTCAAAGATAGCCAAAGCTATCAATCATCGCCTGGAGGCACGCCTTCGAATGAAGAGACCAGCGATGGGCGAGTTGGCTGCCAAGTTTATAGCCACCCTTAATCAAGCAGCCTGACCCTGCGAATTCAAAGACCTTGAAGAAAGACTGCGAGACCGCTTAGTGTGCGGGTTGAGAAGCAGGGAACTCCAACAGAAACTGTTCGCTAAAGAGACTATTTCGTTCCAAGATGCCCTAAGGAAGATCACAGTCGAAGAAGCCGCCGGGGGAGCTGTCAAGGCCTTATGGCTCTCCAGGAGCACTCCTTGTGTAGAGGCCGTCCACCAGGAGGATGCTGAGAGGGTCGAAGACTCCGAATCGGATCAAGAGGTTGATCGGTTACAGCAGCCACCAGAAAGAAGGCCACAACGCCCAGTTGACAAGGCAGTTCCCTTCACTCGATGTGCGGGGTATGGAGGCTGACACAAATCCACGGAATGCAGGTTCCGCACAGCAATGTGCCAGGCGTGTGGCAAACAAAGCCACATTGCTGCTGTCTGTCAGGGTCGTCAGAGAGAAAGCCCACCAGAAGAGTTTCCCCGGAAAGGTACCTGGGCCCCGGGGCAACACAGGGTTGGCTATTGCACCAGAAGGAGTGTGCATAGAACAGGTGCCCATTGCCCATTTAAGCAAAAGTTGCGACTCAAAGTCAAGCTGCAGGGAGTTCCATGCAACATGGAACTAGATATGGGGTCAGCATTATCCATAATTTCCCAGGGAACTTTCAAACATATTTGTAGTCGCAGTGCAAAAGAGTTAAGCTCAAGCTGTCGAACCTCATGTTAACTGATTTCTAAAACTCCTGAGTAACAGTTAGAGGGGAAGCTACACTCAGGGTACAATTCAAGGGATTTGAGGGGCCCCTGGAAGTCGTAGTAGTTGAGGGCAACCGCACAAGCCTCATCGGGCTTGATTGGTTTGATGCATTGGGAATCAGTGTGACGGGAATAAATAGCACACGAACAGTGGACTTAGCAGCAGTTTGCCAAGAGTTCGCTGACATCTTTAGCTCCAACTTAGGGGAAAATAAGGGACCTCCCATAGCCCTTCGGCTTGATCCTGCCATAACTCCAATAAGGATCAAGCTGTGTAGAGTGCCTTTCTCCCTCAAGGAGAAGATCGATGCAGAACTGGATAAGTTGGTGCAGCAAGGCATCCTGCAGCCGGTTGACAGCAGTCAGTGGGAAACCCCCATAGTTATGCCACTAAAGGCCAACGGAGAGGTGCATATATGCACGGATTACAAGTGCACTATCAATAGAGCACTCCAACAACATGCATATCCGGTGCCTGTAGTCAGCCATATTTTGGCGTCACTACAGGGAGGTCGCATCTTTGCCAAGTTAGATTTGGCTCAAGCCTATCAGCAACTGCCGGTGGATGATGCCACGGCAGAAGCTCAAACCATAGTTACCCATAGGGGAGCTTTCAAGGTTAAGCGCTTACAATTTGGGGTCAGTGTCGCCCCAGGGTTTTTCCAGGGAGTGATGGAGCGCACGCTCAAGGGGATTCCAGGCGTGTGCCCATATTTTGACGATGTCCTCATAGCTGGGGAATCAGTTGAGAAATTGGCAGAATGGCTCAAGGCCGTACTTCAGTGTTTCTGCTAAGCGGGGCTGAACTGAAATGGGAAAAATGCAAAATTGGGGTAGCTTCAACCGAGTTCCTTGGTTTCCGCATAGATGCCGAAGGCATTCATCCTGCTGAATCCAAGCTCAAAGCAATTCAGCAGGCCCCAAGTCCTAAATCTAAAGGGGAGCTTCAAGCTTTTTTAGGACTGCTCAATTTTTATCATGTCTTTCTACCGCACAAGGCCGCAGTGGCAGAATCGTTACACCAGCTCTTGGACAAGAATGCAGAGTGGAAATGGACGAACGTCCAAGAAAGGAGCTTTTCAGCAGTCAAATCACTGCTGTCTTCAAACTCAGTTTTGATGCATTTTAACGAAAATCTGCCTGTCTGCATCGCTTGTGATGCATCACCATATGGGGTTGGGGCTGTGCTGAGTCATTTAATGGCTGATGGAAGGCAAATTCCAATAGTCTATTACTTAAGGACCTTGTCCTCTGCAGAGCGTAACTATACCCAAATAGATAAAGAGGCCTTGGCCATAGTGGCAGGGATCAAGAAGTTTCATGACTATTTGTATGGTAGGCCCTTCACGGTCTTCACAGACCACAAGCCACTCCTGGGTTTGTTCACAACGAACAAACACCCCAGATCATATCTCCTAGGATGTTGAGGTGGTCAATATTCCTGTCAGTGTATAATTACAGTGTGATTCACAAACCAGGCAGGGAAATGGGCCACACAGATGGCCTTAGCAGACTGCCCCTGCAACATTTAGAGCCCGACCCCGCTCCAGCCACTCGCATCTTGGCTATCCAGGATCTGCAGGAGTCTCCCCTTAATACAGGGGATGTGGCTGCTGAAACAGCTTCAGACATGACACTGAGCTGTGTCTTGAACTGGGTGCTCACAGGATGGCCGGAAATTAGTCTGGGTCCTAACTTTCAGAGCTTCAGTAGGAGGAAGGATGAGTTGTCAGCTCACAGGGGGTGCGTTTTGTGGGATAGTCGGGTCGTAGTCCCGAACTCACTGAGGGCTAGAGTCTTAGAGTCTCTCCATGAGGGACATCCGGGAATAGTCCGGATGAAGGCACTCGCACAAAGCTACCTTTGGTGGCCTGGGCTGGATAAAGATATTGAGACTCAGGTACACAGCTGTCACATTTGCCAGCAATCTAGACCAGAGATGCCCCACGCCCCAGTCCATAGATGGGAAACCACATCAATTATGCAGGGCCTTTTTAGGGACAACTCTTCCTCATTGTGGTGGACAGTCACTCCAAATGGTTAGAGGTCGCACCTGTCCCTACTATGACTACTGCCAGGACCATCCAGGAACTGTGCAGGATCTTTGCCACACACAGGTTACCCGACGTGATAGTTTCAGACAATGGGGCTCAACTTACTGCTTCAGAATTCCAGTCCTTTTTGAGGGCTAATATGATCAGGCATGCTACATCAGCCCCTTTTCATTCGGCCTCAAACGGCCAAGCAGAGCACATGGTCTGAACAACTAAAGAATCCTTGAAGAGGATAGTAACCGGCAACTGGCAACATAGATTTTCTACTCTGCCAACGCACAACCCCCTGCACTTCCACAGGCAGAAGCCCAGCAGAATTAAGATGGGACCGGTGTTTGATCACAAAGCTGGTGTCATGGTTCCGACTAATTAAACACTTCAAAGAACTTTCAGGCATGTTTATCATAAAGCCTTTATTAACAGTGTTATAAATTGACGGCAATCATGGAGGTTTATGCTAGAATCTGAATTCCTCTTGCTGGCATCTAACTTTTCTTGCTAAACCCCTCCCTTATCTTGCAGTCACAGGTCACATCTTCCAATTAGCCCAGAGGGCAGAGATTCACTTCCGTTCCTTTTCCCGGGCTTTTGTTGTTATTCCCCTCCCTTTTCTCTGTCATCTGAATTAACCCTAAAAATACCAGACAGTTCTGCATATTTTGTCAAAGCAAGAATATTCAATATTAGCAGCGTTGACAGCTGGATCACCTACATCCAGATAGAGTTGCCTCACAAGCAACACAGCCAAAGGCACCACGATACTTGCAAGTGGGCGACCCGGTTTGGGCGTGGAACTACAGGCAAGGGGCACTGTGGATGGTAGCTGTGGTTTGTAAGGTGACTGGGCCACTTTCTTATGAAGTGGTCCTGGAAGACGGTCGCGTGCTACGCAGGCACATCGACCAACTGCGGTGGAGGTTAGTAACCCAGCCAATAACTCATGACTCTAGTGACAGTCAAACTCAGGAGCAACACGATGGCAGTAGTGCATTAGATTCTGCTAGCGATGATGGAACTCTCCCATTAAGGGACGGGGCTCTAGTGTCTGGTGAGTCGGTCCCAAATACTGATGCTTCAACCAATGGGCAATGCCAGCAGACGGCTCCATTTTCTGGACTGGTGGACTCTGTTCCACCTGTGGACACTGCCTTGGGTCTACCAGGACAGGCCAGCCACAGAGACTCAATTCTACCCATAACGGATGGGTCCCATAGCCCCGGTCTACCAAGCCTGGCAGGCGAGCTGACAGACCGGGGGCCTCCAGCAGTTCCGAGGCATTCAGAACAGGCGAAAAGGCCACCAATGTATTTAAGGGAATATGTTCAACAATTGTCCTTATGAACTATCTAGGGCATAGGTCAGCAACCTGTGGCTCTGGAGCCACATGTGGCTCTTTGAGCCTTCCCCTGTGGCTCCCAGCCTCCACTGCCATTTGCAGACAGAGAGAGAGACAGAGACAGAGAGAGGCACTTGCGCTTCCTGCTTCTCTCTGTGTGTGTTTGTGTTTTTGTGTATGTGTGTGTAAAAAAAAGAGAGTGGACTCACGGTGTTCTCTGAGGAGCTGAAAAGCTTTTTGGGTGGGGCTCCTCCCTTTGCTGCATCTCTGCAGGAAGCAGGAAGCAGGAAGGGCAGGAGAGAGCTAGCTAGCCCAGCTATGCTGACTCAGGAATTCTGGGAATTGAAGTCCATGAGTCATAAAAGAGCCGAGGTTGCCTACCCCTGAGCTAGCCCAATAAGCATGTGTGTCAGCTTGTTGGAGAACAGCTTGAAGCCAGCTTGCCAGGTGAGCAGAAGATCAAAGAGAGAGAGGGGGGGAGAGAGGGAGAGAGAGAAAGAGAGAGGGGGGGAGAAAGGGGAGAGAGAGAGAGAGAGAGAGAGAGAGGAAAGAGAGAGAGAAAGAAAGAGAGTGGGGGAAGAGGACTGGCAGACCAAGGGCAGAAAGAGAAAGAGAGAGAGGAAAAAGAGAGAGAGAAAGAGAGGGAGAGGAAAGAAAAAGGAGAAAGAGAGAGAGGGAGAGGAAGAGAGAGAGGAAAGAGAGAGGGAGAGGGAGAGAAAGAGAAAGAGAGGGGAGAGGAAAGAGAGAGGGGGAGAGAAAGAGAGGGGGAGAGAGAGAGGAAAGAGAGGGAGAGAGAAAGAGAGAGAAAGAGAGAGGGGGAGAGGAAAGAGAGAGAAAGAGAAAAGAGAAAGAAAGAAAGAGAGAGAGAGTGAGAGAGGAGGGGAGAGACAGAGAGAGCCTTTTGACATCTAAAATGAAGATAACACTGCATATACCCTTTTTTACTATATATATGTGTGTGTGTGTGTGTGTGTGTGTGTGTGTATGTGTATGTGTATGTGTATGTGTATATGTATATGTATATGTATATGTATATATATATCCTTGATAACTGGAGTGCAGTTTTGGAGTGCAAAAAAGAGGAAGCGGGACAACCAAGGCAATTATGGTTAGCTAGGAGGGATGGCCCTATCACACGGGCAATGAGTAAGCAGTTAGGCCAGCAAGGTTTATAAAAAGAATCTCCCCCCTCTAAGCTTTACTCTGAGGACGCTGGCAGGGGACCAGCGAAAGCTAAGTTGTTTCTTTTAACATTGTAAATAGTTGTTTTTATTGTTTTTAAATATCTTTTTAGCAATAAACAACTGGTTTATACCTCTCCCGGAGATTGAGGATTGTGTTATTGAACATATATATAGTGTTATTTTAGCTATCAATAGGGTTTTGCAGCTCCCAGTGTTTTGTTTTCGGTGGGAAATGGGTCCAAGTGGCTCTTTGAGTGTTTTGGGTTGCCTATTCCTGATCTAAGGGGAAGAGGTGTAATGTATTCATGTGAAGTACTTGGAAATGTTGAAAAAACGGTCATAAGACTCTGTCAGTTAAGTGCCAGACTTTTTGTCTACATGCTAATTACTTGTGTTAAAAGCAGGAACTAATACTTGAATCCTATTGGCTGCTGCCTAGTTGCTGAGTGTATAAATAGGGGTGGGGCGGCAGTTATCCAGGCTTCTGTTTAAATCTTAAATAAAGAGTTGTTGTTGCACCTGCTGCTTTGTCAATGCCTTACCGATCACCAAACATAACACCTTCCTCCTAATTTTCCCACAACAACAACCCTGTGAGGTGGGTTGGGTTGAGAGAAAGTGACTAGTCCAAAGTCACCTGACTGGCTTTTATGGTTAAGGAGAGACTTGAATTCACAGTCCCATGCTTTCTAGCCTGGTGCCTTAAGTACTAGATTAGACCAAACTGGCTCCATCATTTGTACACCTACAAGAAAAGAGAACTATTCTGGTTTTTGTAATATAATCACGGAATCCAATGTTTCAGATTGTATTGCTTACTTTTTCATTAGTAATCCCACAAAGAGCCTTTTAAGGTAGGCCAGTATTATGGTTTAAAATGGCAACCAGGAGTGGGTATTAGTTAGAAGGGGCTCAAGGTTTGCCTGATTTTATTTTGTTTGGGGTGTTATTCTGTTTGTTATTGTTTGAATGGGTTTTGTTGTGGCCCTAGTATGTCTTATTGGACACAGTTTAGGAGCTGTGGTGGTGCAGTGGTTAGAGTGCAGTATTGCAGGCTAACTCTGCCCACTGCCAGGATCCTGACTGACTAAAGGTTGACTCAATCTTCCATCCTTCCAAAGTTGGTGAAATGAGGACCCATATTGTTGGGGGCAACAGGCTGACTCTGTAAACCGCTCAGAGAGTGCTGTAAACCCTGTGGAGTGATATATCAAAATCAAAATAAGCAGGAAAATGGTAAGAGAACACCTATCCAATCTTGATGAATACAAATCACCAGGTCCTGACAGATTACACCCCAAAGTTCTGAAAGAGCTGGCAGATGTTATCTCAGAACCATTGCACCACAGCTTTCACAAATCCTGGAGTACCAAGGAAGTACCTGAGAATTAGAAAAGGGCTGATGTGGTCCCCATCTTCAAGAAAGGGGAAAAACGGACCCAGGAAACTACAGACCTATTGTTTAACATCAATACCTGGGAAGATTCTAGAAAAGATAATCAAAAAAGATATCTGTGAACAACTAGAAGCAAACAACTAGAAGCAAACAAATAACTAGCAGCCAGCACGGGTTTGTTAAAAACAGATCATGCCAGACCAATCTGATCTCATTCTTCGACAAAGTAACTAAACTAGTAGAAGAGCGAAACGCAGTGGGTGTAGTATACCTAGATTTCAGTAAGGCATTTGACAAAATAGATCACAACCTACTCCTTGGTAAGCTAGAAAAAGGTGGAATAGACAACATCACCACCAGATGGATCTGTAGCTGGCTGACAAACCATACTCAACGAGTAGTCCTCAATGGCACTACATCCACATGGAGAGAAATAAGCAGTGGGGTACCACAAGGTTCCGTCTTAGGCCCAGTACTCTTCAACATCTTCATAAATGACTTAGATGAGGGAATTGAAGGGGAACTCATCAAATTCGTAGATGACACCAAACTGTCAGGAGTAGTTAACATCCCAGAAGAACTCAGGATTCAAAAAGATCTAGACAAACTTGAACAATGGGCCCTATCCAACAAAATGAGTTTTAATGTGGAGAAAAGCAAAATCTTACACTTAGGCAGGAAAAACCAAAGCAACAAATACAGATCGGGCAAGACCTGGCTTGGAGGCAGTAACTGTGAGAAGGGTCTTGGAGACCTGGTGGATGATCACTTAACTATGAGCCAGCAGTGTGCAGCAGCAACCAAAAAAGCTAATACAATCCTGGGTTGTATAAACAGAGGCATAGAATCAAGATCACACGAAGTATTAGTACCACTTTATAAAAACCACACCTTGAATACTGCAGCCAATTTTGGTCATCATATCACAAAAAAGATGTTGAGAGTCTGGAAAAAAATCAGAGAAGAGCAACTAGATCAAAGGCCTGGAGACCAAAACGTACAAAGAACGGCTGCGGGACTTGAGTTTGGCCAGTCTAAACAAAAGAAGAAATAGGGGAGACATGATAGCAGTATTCCAGTATCTGAGGGGCTGTCACAAAGAAGAGGGGGTCACATTGTTCACCAGAGCACCAGAGGGCAGGACAAGAAACAATGGTTGGAAGCTGATAAAAGAGAGAAGCAACCTGGAATTAAGGAGAAACTTCCTGACAGTGAGGACAATCAACCAATGGAACAGCTTACCCCCAGAAATCATGGGCACTCCATCACTGGAAGTTTTTAAGAAGAGACTGGACAATCACCTGTCAGAGATGGTATAAATCCTCCTGCTTGAGCAGGGGGCTGGACTAGAAGACCTACAAGATCCCTTCCAGCTCTATTCTATTCTATTCTATTCTATTCTGTTCTGTTCTGTTCTGTTCTGTTCTGTTCTGTTCTGTTTTGTTCTAGTCTAGTCTAGTCTAGTCTAGTCTAGTCTAGTCTACATAAGTCTATTGTTGTTGCTGTATCTGATTGATGAGACCAGAGCTATATGGATGAGGAAGAGCCCATCCCAAAGAGAGTAAAAAAATAAGCTAAATATCTGATGTAGCTCCTTTCAGCTAGTTCTTCGGGCCAATAGCTTAGGTTGCTACTAAAAGCACTAAAATCTTATGGGGAAGTGAAATTGAGGAAAGAAGGAAGTATTGCGAGAGCTGGATCCGTTCCTTTTTCTTACCTTGTCTTTTCTTGGCAGGACGGCCACTCTCCTTGACCCATCCAATTGCTCATCAGCCAAAAAGGATTATCTGTATGCCAAAGCCAAGCGGGCTTTGTCTGATGGCCACTACAGTTACAGTGAATATTATAAACGGATCAAGCCATTTCTGGGTAAGCAGAAACATTGATTGAGGAAATACCAGTTGAGGTTTAGAGTTTGTTCAAAAAAAGGGGGGGGGAAACACACCCAGGAAACTACAGACCAATCAGCCTGATATTAATACCTGGAAAGATCCTGGAAAAGATTTTTTTTAAAAAAGATCTGTGAACATATAGAAACAAATAGCTAGTAGCCAGCACAGGTTTATTAAAAACAGATCATGTCAAATCAATCTTGTTTAATTCCTTGACAAAGTGACTAAATTAGTAGACCAGTAAAATGTGTGGACATAGTATACTTAGACTTCAGCAAGAACACAACCTACTTTCTGGTAAGCTATAAAAAGGTGGGATAGACAGCATCACCACTACATGGATTTGTAACTGGCTAACAAACTATACTCAACATGTGTTCCTTAATGGTATATATCTATATGGAGGGAAGTAAGCAAGGTTCCATCTTAGGCCCAGGACTCTTCAATATCTTCATAAATGACTTAAATGAGGGAATAGAAGGGGAACTCATCAAATTTGCAAATGACACGAAAGCTGTCAGGAATAGCCAATACCCCAGAAGACAAGCTCAGGATCCAAAAAGATCTTGACAAACTGGAACAATGGGCCCTATTCAGCAAAAAGAATGTTAATGTGGAGAAAAGTAAAGTTTTACATTTAGGCAGGAAAAACAAAAGGTACAGGTACAGATTAGGCAAGACCTGGTTCAAAAACAGTAACTGTGAGAGGTACCTTGGAGTCCTAGTGGACGATCAGTTAAATATGAGCCAACGGTTTGTGACAGCAGCCAAAAACACCCTAATACTATTCTTGGTTGTGTAAAATCATAGAATCAAAATCATGTGAAATATTAGTATCATTTTATAAAGCCTCAGTAAGACCACACCTGGAATACTCCATCCAGTTTTGGTCACCACACTACAAAAAAAAATATTGACACTTTGGAAAAAGTGCAAAGAAGAGCAACTAAGATATTTAAAGGCCTGGAGACTAAAACATATGTAGACTAATTGCAGGATTTGGGTTTGGCTAGCCTAGAGAAAAGAAGGACTAGGGGACATGATAGCAATATTTCAGTTTTTGAGAGGCTGCCACAAAGAGGAGGGGGTCAAATTATTTTCCAAAGCAACAGAGGCACCAGAACAGCTTGCCTTCAGAAGTTATGGGTGCTTCATCACTGCAGGCTTTTAAGAAGAGATTGGACAGTCACTTGTCTGAAATTATAGAGTCTCCTGTTTGAATAGGGAGTTGGACTAGAAGACCTCCAAGATCCCTTCCAGCTCTATTCTGATTGATTGATCTCTAGTGAGAGCAAGATGAGAGTAATGCAACAATCCTCACTCTCCTTGACCTATCAGCAGCTTTCAGTGACCCTGGTATTCTTTTGGGTCAGCTGGCTTAATGTCAGACCTGCCCTGACTTGGTCCCTTAGCCAAGAAAGACCTGTAAAGACCTGCCTCAATTAATTCTCCCAAGAAAGCACAACTCTTGAAACTTGCATTTTCTCAAAAGGAACTTTTATTGAGAGTTAATGACAGCAGGAGAGTAAGGCAGGATCTAAAGTTTTCCCATGTGAAACGTTACATTAAAAGTGCTCTTTCAAAACCCCTCCCCAATGTCAAGCCAGTTAGTTTGATTTAGCCAATTCGCAGGTGTGAAGTTGTTATGGGAAATAGGCCATACAGGTTCCATCCCATCTGACTGGAGATAAGGCAGATGGTTGTAGGCACATTCTTCCCTCCTTTCATACCCCAAGAAAAGTATTTCAAAGAGGATAGAACAAAGCAAAGGAAATACATTGTAGGCTCCCCGAATCTCCTCCTCCCTTTAACACAAGCCTCCCCCCTCCCAACAAAATGGCAGGACCCAAAATGAAATGAAATGCACACAGAAAGAAATATATTGATGGTCTGACAAGGCCTTTGACTCCATTTGTAGTGAAAGGTATACTTTTACTAAAAATCAAGTGCATTACTGTACATATAGCAAAGCCAGAACTGAAGTTTGTGCGCTAAAATTTCCTGGTTAACTTTCTCTATCTGGTTAATAACAACAACAACAACAACAATAATAATAAGTGGAAAGGACCTTGGAGGTCATCTAGTCCAACCCCCTGCTCAGGCAGGAATCCCTATACCATTTCAGACAAGTTCCTCTCCTTCCCTGGTTCCCTATTGTCCAATTACAGGTGAACCATTGCATTCCATTCCCAGGCTCTGACCTTGAGATGGTGTCTCTGGAAGGTACAATGAGTCATAGCCTTCCCCCTTCTCATCCCACTCCTTCTCCCCTAGTTTATGTCAGACTGACAGCTGGTGAATGTGAAGCTCAAGCGTATGATGGCAGCTCTGACAAATGTATTTGCACAAGAGAAGTGTGCAAATCAGATAGTAGTTTTGACATAACTACTGTCAATAAGCATAATTATTTTGTCTCCAACTCAATTTTATGGTCCAAACAAATATGTCAATTTCAATGTCTATTGCAGTATGTAATGTCAGTTCAGTGTTTTTATGTATTATATATATATATTCCTCTTAATACAACATATGAACTGAAGAGAAACATGCACTTTTTGCCTAATGTATACATTTTGAATAGAAAAAAATTCCAAGATGCAATATATGCTTATACATTAATTTTATGAGTGCATGCATTTGATAGAGACTTTTCTTCAGTATCCTGAGGTACAGGGAAAAACCATGCTAAATTTGGAATGCAAACATGAATTGTGTTGCCACAATTCTATTCCCACCACCATCTTTTCACATGGTTTGGAATTAATTTAATTGAATTTGTTTATTTGGTTGGAAAAGATGAAGTACTATAGGTCTAATTTCCATATAGAATGTAAATCAGACTAATTTCTTCTCCATTTTTAATCTATATTGTTATATTTTATAAGTTGAATAACAAAATAAAATTCAATGGTGAAAAAAGTAAGGTTTTACATTTAGGCAAGAAAAACCAAATGCACAGGTATAGTATAGGTGGTACCTTGCTCAATAGTAGTAACTGTGAGAGGGATATCAGAAGCGGTGAATGCTCCAACACTGGAAGGTTTTAAGAAGAGACTGGACAGCCATTTGTCTGAAATGGTATAGGGTTTCCTGCTTGAGCAGGGGGTTGGACTAGATGACCTCCAAGGTCCCTTCCAACATTGCTGCTGCTGCTGCTGCTGCTGCTACTACTACTACTACTACTACTACTACTACTACTACTACTACTACTACTATTATTATTATTAAAGTTATGTTTTCCTCTTGTCCCATCATTCCTTTCATCTTTTTCCTAATGGCAAAACATTTGTTAAGGTGGCAAAGATCGAAATATTGCAAAATCTGTTTTGATGGATAGTTTTAAGGGCTGTTGTGTCTTTATTCCCAGCACTATCATTTCATGTGGATTGGAAATAATTTACATTTTATGACCAACACTACTTAAAGGAGTGTTTCTGTCACTTATGCAGGGTACTTCATATGACACATATGAAGTACCCTGCAAAATACAGCTGTAAAACCCTGGAAGCTCACCATGTGTATTGGTTTGAAATAATTTAGAAAATGTGCAGCTATTAATAAAATGTGTTGAAACTATTTCAAGAAAAAAGTTCCCATTGCTCTTTCATTTGAGAAGACCAGTAAAGAATATCAGCTAAATTTTCCTCTTTGCTTGCAGGAGGTGCTCCGGTTGAAGATCTCAGGGCACTTAGCAAAAATGATGTCAACATGGATATTAACACTTTTTTGGGCCTGAAAAGCAGCTCTGTCAAGGTGAGTGGATTTTAAAGTAAAAGGGGGCTGAAGTCAGTTTTCCCCAGCCATTCTGGGAGGGTAATTAGGGGAGCTTCTCCAAGAATCCTGAAGACAAACAATTTGGGTGGAGGGAAAAGACTGATGAAAATTAAAAGAATGTATGGTGGTGGTGGTGGTAGGGAAACAGGTCAATGCCACATTTCTCAGGCTTTGAAGTTTTGTTTAGATTTTAAAGCTTCCATATTGAATATTTTGAATTTTAAAATATTTCAGATTTTAATATTTTAGTATTTTAAATATCACCTTGCTAGCTCTAGTCAACCAAGTCAACATTTTAATCAATGTTTACATACAGGATTACATACAAACTATGACCACAATTGACCAGAATTTCTGTTGTTAAGTGAGACATTTGTTAAGTAAATTTTGCCCCATTTTACAACATTTCTTGCTACTGTTGTTAAGTGAATCACTGCAGTTAAATTAGTGACATGATTGTTAAGTGAATCTGGCTTCCCCATTGACTTTGCTTGTCAGAAGGTTGCAAAAGGGGATCACATGACCCTGAGGACGCTGCAGCCGTCATAAATATGAATCAGTTGCTAAGCATTTGAATTTTGATCATGTGACCATGAAAATGCTGTAATGGTCATGTGAAAAATGGTCATAAGTCACTTTTTTCAGTGCTGTTATAACTTTGAATGGTCACTAAATGAACTGCTGTAAATTGAGGACTACCTGTAATACTTTTTAGCAAGGTGAAGTGTATAGAATAGGCTATCATCCTTAGGTGCACATATCACGGACTAATGGTCCACCAGTTATGGCAAATTTTGGTCAGTTTGCCACAAATTCAACCATAGTACACTTCTCTTCTAATCATATTCACACTATTCTATCTACATATCTCGGTATTCTAAGATATTCACTTCTATTCTAATCAATCACCTGGTTCAAATAGAGCAGAAAGATATCTAATCTGGCTGTATTAAGAAAGGACACTTTTAGCAAATCACAAAACTCTGGTAATAATATGAATTATTCTCTGAGCAGAACTGCTTCAAAAATCTCACTTCAAGGACAGTGTGCCCATAAAATCCAGAAGTGTGAGTCTGATGGCATGTGTATCCTGTGAGGTATTCTTAATGATGGGTAGACACACCACAGCACAGATGAAAACTTTACATAATACTTTATTTGTAACATGCAGGCTGTTGCTTTGACTGGGTAGGGTCTCCAAGCCCTTCCACATGGGCAGAAATCTTGGGGACTTAGTCCTTACAGTTGCCAAGTAGCTGTTAAAGTTCATAATGTAGCATACCATCCATGCTTTCCTCTAAGGATCTTGTATTTATTGGGATTATGAGCTGCTCTTAAGCAATTTTGCCACTGACCACTCAAGCTGTGCTCCCAAGCTGAGCTCCAGTGAGGGGTAGGGCAAGATGGGTTGCTTACCCTGACTTGTGGCTTAGCTGTTGAGTGCCAGCCCATTTGGTTGCCTCTCAATGTGCACTTGCCCAGAGGTCTCTACCTCATCTCATCTTTGCCTGCTCACTCCACACACATTAGTTGCTTTTCCTTTTCTAGGCTGAGGATATGGGTGTGGAACATATGCTGCCTTGTCTGCCTATGGATGTTGGTTGAAAAGGCAAAGATAGGACTCAACTAGCTAGCTGGGTGCAGCCAAATAATGACCCAGGAAAGTCACACGGATGCCTGTAGGGAGTCTGCTATGTGCCTCTGAGTTTCATCTTGCCTTTAGATGAAGGAGGGGGAGGTGCTACTTTCAAGTGGGTAGATGGAGAAACAAAACTGCTTTGATTCAGCTGTGGACCATGAGAGCATGAAACCTTGTCAAGGACACCAGAACAGGTGTAAATTTGAAGCAGACTGTTCCCATAACAATGTGGACTTGTTAATATGGATTATGTAAGACGCTGAGGGTTTGGCTGGGAAAACTATTGTTTAAGTCTATGAATTGGTGTTGGAAGCTCAGAGTTAGTTTTTCTTTGACATAGTCAAGCTGTGTATTCAATAAACAGTAAGCTTTTTGGAAACAAAATGAACCTGGAGTTTTATTTGGATTCTTGAGCTGGATGTTGACAGCTGGTTGGTTCCTCTCCCTTAGCAGGTTGGGGGAATTGAGTGTTTCTCCTCTCAGGCTTACAACCATTTTGGAGTGAAATGAGATGACTTCAATTGTGGGAAATGCAGGAGAAGTGTTTCTGCCCACCTGCAGTGACTTCAATCAAGGGCAATGTTAACTTCACTCCTCCTCTGAAGCAAGTCTTATCTACAGGGTGGAGGTTTTGTGAAAGCAGCAAAATGAATATTGCTCCTAACTGGTTTTGTTCTATTTATTCCGTAGGAATTAACCCCTGAAAATGTGAAAGGCCTGCTGGGTGAAAACCTAAATAGCTTGAGGGATAATCAAAATATCCCACTTGTACGAGAGTGGATCCAGAAGCAGAAGCAATCTGATCTGAATAGCCTTGGTCTGGGACTCCGAGGTGGCCTTCCCAAAGGGTTTATTGTTCTTAAAAGTAAGACCACGCATGCCTCTGCTTGAGATGAATCGAATAGGAGCCAGATACTGGATATTAGGGAAGAACAAAAGATTTCTGGTGATATGGGGTGGTGCACATTTTTATGAAGTTGTTCATTCTGGTTTTATATGCTACCCTTCTGGTAAGATGGTCAGGATAGCTGCATGTTTCACATTAATGCTAACTAGTGCGTGGAAGGTGGGAAGGGAAACAACAGAGGTAAAAGTGAAAGTGTGGAATTGTGGAGGGTATATTAATTTAAGGATAATAATTCCAGTTCCAGGAATCTTGGAACTTAAGCTTTATGTTACTTCTTTTCTTCTCCGGGCACATCAGCACCACCCTTTGCCAATCATTTTCCTCCAGGTTATATCTGCCTACCCCTGGCCTAACCATTCTCCTGCCCTTGCTATCAATTTGATTCCTTTTCTGAAACTCTCCTGCTCCTAAAAACAATAACCTGGGGCTCCAGCTAAGCTTTCTGCTACAATCTGCTACAATTTCTGCTCTGTCAGCAGCAGAGAGAATTGTTAGCAGAACGTGTTCATACTGGAGATTCTGTTTCAATCTATACCCTTTCCAATAAAGGTGATACTTCAAGCATGGCTGAAACTTTATTCTTAATAAGCATGGAGAAGGAAAAGGACTTCAAATCATAGAGTGGGAAGGGACTTCAGAAATACTCTAGACCTGCCCTCTCATCAAGGTAGGAGACTTTATACCATCCTGGTCAAATGGCTATCCAGCCTATTTTTGAAAATCTCCAGTGATGGAGCACCCACAATTCCAGGACATAAGTTGTTCCATTGGTTAATTGTTCTCACTGTTAGAAAATTTCTCCTTATTTCTAGGTTGGATCTCTCTTTAACAAGCTTCCACCCATTACTTCTTATCCTGCCCCCAGGTGCTTTGGAGAATAAGTCATTCATCTTTTCTCTCTGACAAACACTCCAGTACTGAAAGACAGTTATCATGTCCTTCCAATCTTTCTTTTCGATAGGCTAGATATGCCGAGATCCCTCAACTGTTCATCATACAATTTAGCCTCCAAACCTCTTATCTTTAGTGCTCTACAGTACTACATTTGACTTTTTTTGGCAGCTGCAGCACATTGCTAGCTCATATTTAAGTGGTGGTCCACTAAGACAGGGGTCCCCAACCCCTGGGCTACGGCCCACTACTGGGCTGTGGCTTGTTCAAAACTAGGTCAAGGAGAACTGGGCAAGCCCGCATATGTGAAACTCCATTCACGTGAATGGAGGGCACTTGTGCTCACATGCAAAACTCCACTCACACAAGCAGAGGGGGGTTGCGCTGGTGCATGAAGTTCCATTAGTGTGGGTGGAGCTTCATGCCTGAGCAAAAGTGCCCTCTGTTCAAGCACCCTCCGCTCACTATGAAACTGCATTTGTGCAAGTGGAGGACATGTGTGCCGGCTGCTCACACGAATGGAACTATGCATGCGCGTGCACCTGCCACTCACACGCCCACCAAACCGGGCCGCCAAGCTTGAAAGGTTGGGGACCACTACATGAAGACACTAGATCTCTCTCATAGTTACTACTGTAGAGCCAGGTACCACCTATTCTGTAACAATACATTTGATTTTTCCAAACTAAGTGCAGAACCTTACTTTTCTCACCACCAAACTGCATCTTGTTGGATGTTCACAAGGCTTTTTTTTGTCATAGAACACCCAGAATGGAATTCCAGCATCTTTTTTGGATGGAACCTTGTAGGGTAGGCAAGGCGGCTTGTATGACATGTGTGAGTTCCAGCATCTTTTTTTTTTTTTTACAAAAAAACCAAAACACTGGATGTTCAAGTCTGTCAAAATTCTTCAGAATCTTGAGTCTGTTTTCCAATTCCCCCCCGTTTCTGTCATGTGTAAATTCGATGAGTTCCACTCCTATTATTATGAAAATGCTGAAGATTATTTGGTCCAAGACAGAACATTGGGGTACCCTCCGCATACCTCCCTCCATGAAGATGTAACTCCATTAAAAACTACACACTGGATAAAGTTGGTCAGCCAATTATAAATCCTTCCAGTGATGGTATGTCCATCTCACATTTTTTCTATCTTATCAAGAAGTAGGCTATGGGTCAAATGCCTTACTGAAGTCCAAATATAGTATGTTCACAGCATTTCATTTGTCCACTAATTTAATCTATTTATCAAAAAAGGGTATATGGCTTCTCTGGCATTATCTGTTTTTAACAAAACCCGCTTGGTTAGTAATCATCTTGTTTATTTCTAGGTGTTCACAAATCCTCTGCTTGATTATCTTTTTCAGAATTTTGACAGCTATTGATTAGCCTATAATTCCCTGGATCTATTTTTCCCTTTTCGAAGATTTGTGCCACATCAGCTCTTTTCCAGTCCTCTGGTAATTCCCTTGTGCTACAGGAGCTCTGAAAAACCTTTCAGTGGCTCCGAGATTACGTCTGTCAACTATTTTAGAACCCTGGGATGCAAACCCTCTGGTCCAGGTGATTTGTACTCATCCATGGTGGATAGGCATTCTCTTACCATGTCTTTGCCTATTTTGCCTTGTGTATCTGTTCTACCTCCTTTAGTGCTGCTTTTTGATAGGTTGAGCTATTTTTCCTTTTGCATAAAAACAGGTGCAAAGAAGGAATTAAGCAGTCCTGCTTTCTCTCTGCTGCCAGTTACCTTCTTGCCATCTGTTCCCATTAATGGACCTATTGTTTCCTTGACTTTCTTCTTGCCTTTATATAATGAAAGAAACTTTTTTGTTATTTTTTGCATGAGTTGCGATCTTAGCCCATTCTGCACCTTAGCTTTCCTTACTCTCTCCTTGCAGGTTTGAGTTATTTGTTGATATTCTCTTTTAGTTCTGTGCCCCTCTTTCTATTTTTTTATATTTGACCTTTTTGTCCCTTAATTTGTCAGAGAGCTCTTTGTGCAACATGCTGGTCTCATGTAGTTTTGTTTTCTCAAACTCTGTATCAAGTAGGAGATTGAACAGGTTACTGACCAACTTAGCTGACACCCTTGTCATCCAAAAGGTAGAGGAGGGAACTAGAGGATCACTATACTGGTCTTAATTCTTACTAACCAAGAATAAATGATAGAGTTGAAGTTGCAGGAACTTTGGGGGAAAGTGACCATATCACATTGGAATTCAACTGACCCAAGCTGTAGAACACAATCACACCAGTGTCTTAGACTTTAAAAGGGCTGATTTCAACAAACTTAGAGAGAGCTTTGGGAAGGATTCCATAGATGAAAATTTTAAAAAGGAAAACAACTCAAGAAGCTTGGGAAACTCTTGAAATATTTGATTATAGAAACCCAGTCCAGCACAATACTACTGAAAAAGAAAAAGAAAAAATCCCAAAAGAAACCAGCATGATTGCACAAATAACTTCATGATAAACTGAAAGACAAAAAGGATTAGTATAAAAAAATGGAAAGAGGGACATATAACTAAGACAGAATACCAGCATAAAGCCTGAATCTGCAAAGGTGAAGTCAGGAAAGTTAAGTCTCAGAATGAACTAAGGCTTGCAACAAATGTCAAAATTATAAAATGATTCTTTCAACATGTAAAAAACAAGAAAAACGTCAGGAAACAATCTTTCCATTAATGGAAGAAGATGGCAAGGAAGTGAAGGGGAGCAGGGAGGAAGCAGAACTACTTAATTAACTATTTGCATCTGTCTTCACACAAAAAGAAAAATTAGCCCGACCTACCAGAAACAGAACCATACAAGACAGACTAAGAATATAAATTAAAATAGGCAAGAAAATGGTAAGAGAACACCTGTCCACTCTAGTTGTTCAAATCACCAAGACCAGATGGATTGTATCCCAGAGTTCTGAAGGAGCTGACATATAAGCTTGGAACTATTGAACAATATCTTTCAATGATCCTGGAGCACTGGGGAACTACCAGAGGACTGGAAAAGAAATGATATGTTTCCCATTTTCAAAAAAGGGGAAAAAAACAGATTCATGAAATTATGGATCAATCAGCCTGACATAAGCAACAGATCTGCAAACACTTACAAAGCAAGCAAAGTTATAACCAAAAGCTACATGGGTTTATCAAAAACAGATCATGCCAAACAAATCTTATTTCATTCTTTGAAAAAGTGATTAAATTGGTGGACCAGCAAAATGCTGTGGAAATAGTATATTTGGATTTCAGTAAGGCAGATTAGAAAAATATGAGATAGATAGCATCACCAACAGATGGATTTGTAACTGGCTGACAAAATGCATTCAACGTGTAGTTCTTAATGGAATTACAACTACATGGAGGCAATATCCCAAGGTTCTGTCTTATGCCCACTACTCTTCATATTGTACATAGTATGTTTAGGTGTGTGTCATGTATGTCTTTCACTTTGAGAGTGGGCAACTAAATTTCATTTTTGATGTGTGCCATTGTGTCCACAGTAAAAAAATGACAATAAAGGTTATCTTATCTTATCCATCTTATCTTAAACAATTTAGATGAGAGAACAAAAGGGAATTCATCAAATGATACCAAGATGACAGGAATAGCCAACACACAGAAGATAGGCTCAAGATCCAGAAGAATCTTGACAGACTTGAACACTGGATCCTATATAACAAAATGAAATTCAATTGAGAGAAAAGTATAGTTTTGCACTTAGGCAAGAAAAACCAAAGGTACAGGTATAGAATAGGTGGAACCTAGCTCAATACCAGTAATGGTGAGAGGGATCTTAGAATCCCAGTAAACAATCATTTAAATATTTGTTTCTGCATTTTTTGTGGAGGAGCTGAAAGGCTTTCAACCCATGACTCACCATTCCCTGTTGCGCTCAAAATAGCCGGAGAACGTATAAGAAAAGGCAGGAAACTTCAAGATCAAAGTGTCTATTCTGGGCTGATATGTCAGCTCCACCCCTACCCACCTACGCTTTACCAATCACAACATGTCGCCAGGTTCCTCCTCCTTGTCTGGCTTGTCATTTTTCTCCTTTCTAGTTATTCAGTTTTGCTACTGTTGTGTGTGATGGTATGAGACCAAGATAGTGGTGCATATTAATAAATATGGATAAATTCATCATACATTTGTCAGTACAAAGGGAAAGTGATTCAGCAAAGGAACCGCCACCCGAGAAATTAAAACCGGCATTGAATAGAAAATACAGTGAAGATTATTTGAAGTTTAGATTTTATTTCACGGAAGAAAATGATCAGCCGCTTCCTGTTTGTGTTATCTGCAATGAAGTACTATCCAAGTATTCCATGAAGCCTTCTTTGCTTCAAAAACATTTAACAACAAAACATAAAGGGTACACCAAAAAGCCAGTAGCATTTTTTGTGAAGAAGAGAGATGAATTTATAAGTGCCGCACTGCTTTTGTGAAGTCCACAACCATCTCGAAAAAATGTCTAGAAGCATCTTATAAATTGTCCTTGATAGCAGCTAAACAAAATAAGTTTCACACAATTGGTGAAGAAGTTGTGGTTTCCTCTGCCATTGCAATTGCTTTAATTTTCTTTAATGAAAAAATGGCTGGTGCTATTCCATGCTTTGACAACACCGTCCAAAGATGAATACAAGATATGGCCGCAGATATTACTCAACAAGTGGTGGAAAAGCTCACAGCAGAAGAAAAATTTGCATTTCAATTGGACTAAAAACTGACATTGCTGGTGAAGCACAATTGTCTTTGTGCGTGTTCCTGATTCGGATAATATACTGGAACACGTATTATTTTGCCACCCACTTACTAGCAGAATGACTGGGGAAGAAATATTCACAATAATCAATAACTTTTTCAGTGAACATGGAATATTATGGACTTGGTGTGTAGCAATTTGTTCCAATGGTGCAGCAGCTATTACAGGAAGAGCTTTGGGCGTGATAGCACAAGTTAAGACATGAAACAGTTCCATTGTTTCAAATTATTGCATCTTGCATAGATATGCACTTGCTTCTAAATGGATGAGCCCATTGTTACATGAGATTTTGCGGGATGCTGCAAAAATAATAAATTTCCTCAAAAACCGGCCATTGAATGGAAGTTTATTCCAACAATTATGAGAGGATTTAGATTCTGAGCACAGCACTCTTCTCTTTCATACAGAAGTATGTTGGTTGTCGAGAGGTGAAACATTATCAAGATTGTTCAAGCTACGAGATGAAACGCACCTGTTCCTGATGAATGTTTCATCACCCCTAGCAGAAAAGTTTGAAAATGTCTTCTGGGTGTCCTGCCTTGGCTATTTGGCTGACATATTAAAAAAAGCTAAATGAACTTAATTGGCTGCAGGGCCACGGGCATAACGTGTTTATCATGGAAGACAAAGTTTGTGCATTCTACAAGAAAATCTTCCTATGGATAGGCCAAGTAAAGAAAGGAAATATTGTGTCATTTCTCAATGTGTCAGACTTTATTGAACTAAATTCTGTTGTTGACATTGAAGACATTGAAATTGCCATCAAAAATCACTTGGAAAAATTGCACAATGAGTTTGCGTTGTATTTTCCATTCATGTCAAGAGGATGTGATACTGGAATTCATTGGGTTGCACTGACCTTCATCATGGACAATGTTGTGAACTCTGACTTTTCCTCTCAAGAGCAGGAAGCACTTCTGTAATTGACATCAAACTGCAATTTGAAGGAACTTTTTAATGAAAAAACATTGACCGAGTTCTGGAACTAAGTTGCAAAACTGTACCAGAAGTGGGTGTTGTAGTGTTACTGCCATTTGGTTCCACATAATTGTGCGAGAAGGCATTTTTTTCATTAACTAAAAAGTAAGGAAAGGAACTGTCTTCAGCTGGAATCTGACTTAATTCTATCAGTGAGCACTCTCCAGCCACGAGTACAAAGATAGTCAGAGAAACAGGCACAAGTTTCCCATTAAAAGTACGGTGAGTGGTTGTACTTTTATCACTCTTTTCCTTTTTTATTGGTCATCCAGTTTTTGACACTTTGCTTAGCCACTGGTGGTGCTGGAATATTGCCATGTCCTAAAGTGGTATAATCTGTGAAAAGGTTGAAAAGCCCTAGTCTAGTCTATCAATATCACTATGGGGATGTAATGCATGGTGAATACTTAAAGATACTTTTCATATTTTTGGCCCAAATGTCCATTTTAGTCCAGTAAATAATTACAGCAGGGTATTGTATCACTGGCATGGCCCAGGTATTGATAGCTTTGATTTATTTTTAGCACTCTTTGGATACATTCTTTACTAATCACAATTTTAACTTGTCCATGGTTGATGTTATCCAACTGAAAAATGCCCAAGATACTTGTAGACTTCATCCTATTAGCTCCTGGTCACTCAGCATTTCAATCACATTACTGTTCATGAGTTTGCCATGCTTTATCGCTACTGTAGCACATTTCTCTAGGCTAAATTCCACTGCTATAGCTATACTAAAAATTCATATAGTGTTTGTCAATGACTGGATTTTTATTTCTGATATTATTTGTTTCTGAAAGGGCCCAAGAAGCAAGGCTGAGCTCTGAAACTCCACCTTCTGCTAAACGACCCTTTGGCTTCTTACTTCAACCGGGCATCATCTATTCAAGTTCATCTCTGCAAGTGAAGAGTCCAGCAAACAAAAGTGAATAAATCTAGTGTTTGAGGATGTAATACAAGACTTTTTTGATCCTACTTTCTTTTATCTTCAAAATAGAAGCACACACCCACAGATGCAGATTTAGAGGGTTAACTTCATGAGGAGAAAATGGAAACATCTAATCATAATAAATTCTTATTGAAATTTTTATCTACACGGGTAGAGGGGTAAACAAGAAAAAGACACTTTTAGCTATTATTAGCCTTAATACAGATAAGAACATGGTCTCCTACAGCTGGGGTCCCCAACCCCTGGCCTGCGGCCCACTACTGGGCCTTGAGCCATTCAGAACTGGGTTGTGGAAATGGGGGGCAACCACGCATGCGTACATATATCCCCACTTGTGCAAGCAGCAAGCAAACATATGCACACTTTCCATTTGTGTGTGCGGCGTTTGTGCATGCTCACACATATGGGGCTGTGCACACATGCGTGCGTGCCTGCCACTTGCACAGACCCATCCCCTCCCCCACCCCCCCCAGCCAGTCTGCAAAGCCAGAAAGGTTGGAGAATTCTGTCTTAGGGTTGCTAGTTATCTGAAGAAGCAAAGGAGGATGTGGACTGTTGGAAAGAAAGACAAATGGGGGGAAAGGACACACTAACATTGTCTTGGCAACGATAAAAATTATTTAGGCCTTTATGTATATGGTATTGCTTTTCCAGTATCCAAATTTGATTTTTTTCTATTACAATATTTTTCCAACCAATCTTTTTTTTCAAGAACATACACTAGTGATAACACAGAATTGACAATAACATGCTTTCCAAATTTTCGCATAGAAATGTATGATAAATCATGTGATCTATAGATTCTGCTATTCATAGATTTGAAGGATTGAAGCCGACTGCCAGAATCAGGAAATAAATAATTTAAATCTGTTAAGTCTGTTCACAGAGGAGGGAAAGAAAGAAATACTAAACAATACACAACAGTTTGAATGGCTACTGTTGTGAAAACAGTCCAACCCCCTTCAACAAACATCTGCCCACACACAACATATAAAAAAGCCACACTTTTAATTTTAGCCTCTGCTTGTCAGATGGAGGACATGAGGACAAAAAGGAGGACATGTCAACCTTTTGCTGGATGTCTGATAATCTTACCTGTCCTTGACTTTTAGTGTCTATCTAAAAAAATCCAATGGCCGGGGGAAGTGAGCATTCTTAGGTGGAAAATGCAGCTTTTCGGGTGCAGTCAAGAAGTCTTATTACACTGAAAATTTGTAAGTAACTTCTGGAAAATTGTTAAAGGATATTGGTTATTTGACTTTTCAATGAAATTAATCTTTTTAATTATAAAAACTGTCTTTCAAAAAGGAACTGTGTTTTTAGTTTCTGTTTCCTCCATTTTCTAGAATCAGCTGTCAGCTTAAGAATTTGGAGTTCTGTGATTCATTAAAGTTGATCCTGATACTAAGACTGCCTGGCTCTTTCTGCTTCTCACCAATTATTCAGGTTTAAGAACCGAAATCCCATGACTTTGCCAGGCTTTTCAATGAAGAGTTTATGAAACAGTTTTGAGACATAAGAGGGCAAGCAAAACCCAACTGCAGAAGGGTCAGGAACCTACCAGGCAGGCTAACAAAGACCATCAATGTGCCCTTTGATGAATACCTAGAGATAAAGTGTAATTTGCCTACAATGGCTGAGTTTTCATTTTGTGCTAATCCATTGTTTGTTTAACCAGTTTATTAAATTTACCATAACAGTTTGATTCAAGTAGTAATGTGTGAACCAAGATAGTGCCTACATCAGCCATTTGAAAATTGGTTTTCCATCACACTTCAAATGGCAACTTGTGCTTGTCACAGGTACTTTTTTAAATCATACCCAATAAAACCAACTCAAACTTGAGGCACAAAAGCACTGGACCCTGGACAAGGTGCTTTCTTTTATAAAGGGATGGAATTGCAAAATACTTTTCCACCCACAGCTGTGTCAAGGTTGCTACTTTTTGGCAACCCTGGTGAGATGAGGCTGGGGGAAAGACTTAGATGGGGGGGGGGATAGCACAGGTGCCTGCAAATTTTTTAAGCAGCCTGCTCTTCTACAGGGCTGCAGCATCCAACTCTAATCCAGGCTTAGCCATTTTGATGATTCAAGAGGAGAAGGGAAGAGCAATATTTCAGGAAAATTGGGAAATTCTGAAGAATGAAATAATTGAGGCCAGACAAATAATGCCAAAGAGAGAGTGAGAGAAAAGGTGGGAGAAACCTGATGAAAAAGGCATGATTGCAGCAAAAGCTCTCAGATAAACTGTAATAAAAGCTGAATATCGGAAAACAGCCCTAATCTGCAAGGATGGAAACAGGAAGCTGAAGGCTCAGGATGAGCTAAGAAGTGAATGCCAGAATAACAGAGTTGAAAGGGACTTTGGAGGTCTCCTAGTCTAACTCCCTGCACAAGCAGGAGATGCTATACCATTTCAGACAAGTGGCTGTCCAGTCTTTTTAAAAAGCTTCCAGTAATGAAGCACCTATAACTTCTACTGGTTTATTGTTCTCACTGTCAGGAAATTACTTCTTGGTTCTAGGTTGCATCTCTCCTTGATTAGTTTCCATCCATTGCTTCTGGTGCTTTGGAAAATAGGTTGACTCCCTCTTCTTTGTAGCAGCACCTCAAATATTGGAACACTGCTATCAGGACACCATTTTCTCTAGACTAGACATCCCAAATCCTGTAACTGTTCTTCATATGCTTTAGCCTCCAGTCCCCTAATCATCTTTGTTGCTCTTCTCTGCACTCTTTCCAGAGTCTCAACATCTTTTCTATATTGTGGTGACCAAAACTGGATGCATTATTCCAAGTGTGGTCTTACCAAGGCCTTATAAATAATGGTAATAATGACCTTGATTCTATCCCTGTATTAATGCAGCCTAGGATTGCATTGGCTTTTTTGACAGCTGCAGCATACTGCTGGCTCATATTTAAGTGACTGTCCACTAGGACTCCAAGATCTCTCTCACAGTTACTACTGTTGGGCCGGGTACCACCTACTCTATACCTGTACATTTGGTTTTCTTGTGTAAGTCTAAAACCTTGCTTTTCTCTATATTGAATTTCATTTTGTTAGATAGGGCCTATCTTCTGGGATATTGGCTATTCCTGCCAGTGCTTGCAGAAAAGGAAAGTCAACAAAATGGAGAAGATGGCAAGATGGTGATGGACAGCTGGGGAGAATGCTGAACTGCCTACCTGGCAATTGTCTTTTCACACAAGGAAAAAGCAGTCTGACTTCTCAGAAATGTTAGGGAGAGGAGCAGAGGAGAAACGCACAGCAAAATAGGCAAGGAATTGGTGAGAGAACACCTAGTTGTTCTGAATTCTGAATTCCAATCCCCGGAGCAGATGGATTACATCCCAGGGTGTTAAAGGAGCTGATGGATGTCACTCCAGAGCCACTGACTGAAATCTCTCAGAAATCCTGGAGCACAGGAAAGTGCCACAAGACTGGGGAAATCCATGAGCCAGCAACATGCTGCAGCTGCCAAAGAGCCAATACAATTTTGGGCTACATCAAGAGCAGAATAATGTTGAAATGACAGTAAGTGGTTGCACTAGCTGGTACACATTTGCAGTATTGGGTCTAGCTCTGGTTATCATAATACAAATACAATAAAAGAGTTGAAAGTTGGACTTCTAGTCCAACTGACTGCTCAAGCAGGAGAACCTATATCAGAGGTCCCCAACCTGTGGGCTGTGGCCCACTACTGGGCTGTGGCCTATTTGAAACCAGACCGCAACCCCATTCGCACGGGTGCCAGCATTTACAGCCCACTTGTACAAGTGGCTGATGCCGGCACTCACAGCCCCACTTGTGCAAGCGGCTGGCGCCAGCGCACACATATGCTGCTCAGGTAAATGAAGCTATGCATGCATGAGCCAGCCCCTCACACAAAACCATCCCATCTTCTCCCCCTCCCCCAACACTGGGCTGCCAACCCAAAAAGGTTGGGGAACGCTGCTCTATACCATTCTAGACAAATGATTGTCCAACCTCTTTTAAAAAACATCCAGTGATGGAGCACCTATAACTTCTGGAGATTAATTGTTCTCATGTTAGCAAATTTCTCCTTAGTTCTAGGTTGGCTCTCTCATTTCCATCCATTACTTCTTGTTCTGCCTTCAGATGCTCTGAAGACTAGATTGACCCACTCTTCTGTGTGAGTCCCCCTCACGTACTGGAAGACTGCTATCATGTCACCCTGCAAGGTCCCTTCCAATCCTATGATTCCCTGAGACCTGTTGATCTCACGCTCACTAACCAGTTTAGATTCTGCTTAAGCATAATGAACATCAAGCCAATTAATTTCTTCTGAGTTTGGCTGCCACATATGACCTGCATTTGTATAATGAATAGCATCACTAACTGGCCCATCACATTTTAACCTGACTTATTTTGGTCTTCCAATTTATATGGTTAGCTTAGGGTTGAGTGAGTCGCACAAATTAAGAATAATAGTTAACCATGGAAAGAAATGTCTTACTCTGATAAGGATGTCATGCAAATACAGCCATTACTTTTTAAAATGTCTGGTACTCTTCATGTAGAAATTCCCCTAGCACTAATCTCATTTTCTTTGGGATGCAGAGGGAAGTATGTGAGCATGCATTTGGACTTTGGACCCATTAGGGATTCTACTTAAGATGAGATGGCAGAGCCAGAATAAAGCTAAGATTTAAAATGTAAGCTTAGTTAAATGAAAATAATTTAACTAATAATTCCTAAATATTTAAGAATGTTTCTTTTCTTTTGACAAAACATATAATTTATCAAAACCTTGGTAGGACAGTTCTAGGGCTGTGAGGGCTGCAGCTGTGATTTAACTAAAATCTTAATTACTTAATTACTATGAAGATTCCTACTTAATTTTTTCTGTGATGATGCAAAATTCAGAGGATACGAATGATTGCTTCCAGATCAATTTGAGAAAAATATGCCTTCCATTATAAGATTCTCGTTCTCTAACATTCAAAATCTATTCTTGTCATTAGCACTATCTAAGCACCCCTGCTTAA